GAACCGGTGCGAACCGGCTGAATCCCACCACTGCTCATACCAGAAGTAAATTTTACCTTTTCAAAATTGTATTCTTAAAAATCAAACCCATGACTCAGTTTTTCTTCCATTATAGTACTTTAATAATAATACCATTAAAATCTATGAACACCTTGAACAGACCAAAACTTTTATGACACTACTCATAAAATTTATGTTAACTTCAAGAACAACTTTATAAAAATGTTACACTAAATATAAACTTTGAATTTTGTAACACTCATGGAAAAATTAAAAAGTGAATAAAAAACAAATTATTTTTCTTACTGTAGAATCTTGGTATTGGACAAATGACATCAGCACTGGATATCACAGATACCGTGTGGTTGACATTTTATACAATTTATAATTTAACTCAGTTGTTATTAATAATTACTTGTAGATTTATTTTGTTCTACTGATTGTTCATTATACATGATAACAATTCAGATACACATTTTGACAGTTCTTAGGATACTTGAGAAACACAAATTTTGTCGAGAATCTCTCTTCATCTGAGATGACCCAGAACATTCTTAGAAATATCAAAATTTAATTTCAAACTGTTAACCCGATAACCACCAGCTACTAACTTTGAGTAGCCAATGCAAATCTTGCTATATCTCATTCCAACAATAAAACTAGTGGATGAAACTGTTTCAAACTTCATAAGAACTTTCATAAATGCGTGTAGCTTAAGAAACATAAAGCCTGTTACTTTTGATAAATTTTTTTTTTTTGCATTATGATCTTTAATATTTGGAAAATTACATTAGGAAATAGTATTTATAAGAAATGATTACGATATTTATATTTGTTCCAGATCTGAACTTACGTTTTATGTTTTAGTACATTATTTTAAAATTCTAAAAAATGTTTATCATCCATAAAATGCAAATTTTGTCTATTTTAATATTTTTTTAATACTCTCCTTATTGTTTCCAGTAATATACAAGACCCGAAAATAATATTTACAAGTAAACTTAAACAATAAATGAGTATTGTTTATATTTATCTAGGATTTCATTTTTATATATGTACATAAAAAACATTTTAATTTTGTTTCAAGTTTATCTTTCATTGCAGCCATACTTTTGTTTATTGTGCCAAATAAATCATGAGGTTAGCATCATGAACTTTGTACATTTGCCTTAAACTATCATGCCTGTTGGTGGTCACTCTCGTTCAGCCCAGCACAGATACATTTCTACATTACTGTAGATATGATAATAACAAAGCTTTTCAGTACTTTAATATAATTTCTTTGAACTTTCAAACAACTTTATTTCAACATATGTCTGTGTATGTTGTTTCACTATACGTACAAAACTGATTGCCTCCACTAGCAAATGTATGTAATACTAATAGTTTACAGTACAGGTGGTTTGAATAACACCACCTGACCCTAGTTACTTGATACATCCTGTTAGAAGAGATTACCAAACCATACAAACACCATAAATTACAAAGAAAATTACAACACTTAAAAGATTAGTCCTGGTCACATTCCTCCCATTATAGGCAAGGTTTATGTTGGAATTCAAAACTTAAGCTCTTCAGTGTATTGAGACCCCTATTGTGAGCATGTCACAGCTTCCCCTGTAATATTGAGACAAATGTTTTGAGTCTATTTCACAACCAACATATGGGTTTTATTGTTGTCACTTGTACACTGAGTTTTAAACCATTTGCAAAATATCAGAGTAAACTTTATATATATCAGTTAGACTGTTTTAATTCTAAAGCAATAACAACAAAAGTGTGGGTCTTACTACAAAGTAAAGATAGTAAGAAGTAAAAATATAAAATACTGGTACTACTACTAGTACGTACAAATCACACAAGTTTATCATTCTGAATCATATTTTTATTATGAACTAAGTATAAAATTAAGTTAAATTACTGAACTTAAAACTACTAATTTAAATACAAAAGAATATAAAAAATTACAAACTCATCAGCTCAAAGTGCTAAGCCTAATTCACGTAAAGACCATGCACACGCCACTCGATAGATCTTAACCCTAACATTCGTCGATCAATTTCATTCCTAAAAAATATATCTATTTTGAGTTAATTTTTCAATATAATGATTAATATAAATAGATATACCTACTATAGAAAAAGAATAAAAGTCACATACATCCCATGCAATTTTTTCCAAACAAAATTTCTGAGGCTTATAAAAAAAAAAAGAAGTACTAATGACCAAAACTAAATACCGCCTCTACGTAAAATGGCAGTTACTATACGAAGCACCCTTCACGTTCTTATTGTAAAATCCAGAGAACAACATTTCGTCACGTGCTTTCCTTCTCATCCTATGATTTGTCAAACGTGAATACAGCGTTTGGAATAACATGGTACTGAAATTGACACCTTCGACTACGATTGGCTAAAAGCTTTAGACTGAGGTTTAACACGCCCAGACGCTGTTTTATAAAGAAAACAGACTAGAAAAAGATTTAAATTTAAAAAGATATTGAAAAAAAATGTCGAATTGAATTGCTGACAGGCAGAGACGGAAAATTGAGTCAAGCGCGGTAGTGACCGTAAGTAAAGTGCGTGAATCGTTGTAAATTATAGCGTGTGTTTCAGTGAAAATGACTGTGGAAATTAAGTGTATTGCAAAGTTGTATTGAGAAAGAGTAAACTAGTTTTATTTAAGAAAGGACTTGTATCGCTAAAGTTTCATCCGAAAGAATTTCTACGGAAAATTAACAAACGAACACAGAGACGTAACAATATTAATAAAGTTACCTTTTCTTATTCACATTTTTTAAGTTTTCTTACTGTAAAGTACTTCACAGCAACTTTCAAGGCAATAAAGTATATTTCCTCAAATTACATGTTTTGTGTCTTATTTTAATATTTATCTAGTTTCTTGTTTAGTTTGTGGTTCTTTCCGGATTATTTTGTGACCAGTCTGTGATAACGTGTGAGACCCATATTATGAAGTTAATTTAAAAGATAAAATACCATTTGAACATTCAGCTATATTCATATTGTTTCAGTTTACTTTGAGTAGTTTTAGTCTGATATAGATGATGTAAATAATATATTCGAGATTTTGCGGCACAGCTAGCACAAACATTTGCTGATTCTAGGCCAAATACATTGTTTGTTTGAATTTATGCACAAAGCTACACAATGGGCTATCTGTGCTCTGCCCACCACGGGTATCGAAACTCGGTTTCTACCGTTGTAAGTCCGCAGACACCGCTGTGCCACTGGGGGGGGGGGGGCAAATACATTGTACCTCCCTTCTAGTTCCTCATAAGAGTAATTTTTCCCATGTTTCATTTTAAAAGTACAAATCTATGGATTTATTTTTATGTCTGTCTTTCGGTATAAATATGAGTACCTATTATTCGTTATTAAGGCAGATGCATTCCACATATTTTAAATTTTCTTTTTATCTTTGCAATGTAAGTAGTCATAAATTTACAAATTTTTAAATCTTGTTTATAACCGTGAAAATTTATCTATTATAATGTCATAAGCTAATCCATTTACTATAGAATCTTAATGACTAAAATAGCAAAGCCATTTAGTTTTTCTTCTAAAATATTTGACCTGCAGTAATGTTTTAATCTTTTCAAAAGGTACAATTTTCTGTAGTACAATTTGTCACAGCTGTAAATAAAAAATTCATAGAGCTATGTCCACGTTTGAAAACACGCACTACAAATCTTTGCTGCGAAGTATTTTACACGAATTGAAATTTATTAGTTGGTTCCCTTCTACATAATCTGCGAGGTTGAATCCCCGTCCCACCATACAGACGTGGGAATGTTATAGATTACGGTTAATCCCACTATTCGTTAGTAAAAGAGTAGTCCAAGAGTGGAAGGTGGGTGATAATGATTAGCTTCCTTCTCTCTAGTTTTTTGTTAAATTAGGAACAGCTAGCGCATATAGCCCTCGTGTAGCTTTGCGCGAAATTCACAACAAACCAAACCATTTTACATTTT